CTCCTCTGTCAAGAACAACTGTCCCTACCTCTGTCAAGAACAACTGCCTCCCTACCTCTGTCAAGAACAACTGCCCCCTCCTCTGTCAAGAACAACTGTCCCCTCCTCTGTCAAGAACAACTGCCTCCCTACCTCTGTCAAGAACAACTGCCCCCTCCTCTGTCAAGAACAAGTGCCCCTACCTCTGTCAAGAACAAGTGCCCCTACCTCTGTCAAGAACAACTGCCCCTACCTCTGTCAAGAAAATAACTGCCCCCCCTCCCCAAATATCAATTCTTTGAATTTTTCCATAAANCCCTACCTCTGTCAAGAACAACTGCCCCCTCCTCTGTCAAGAACAACTGCCTCCCTCCCTCTGTAAAGAATAACTGCCCCCCCTCCCCAAATATCAATTCTTTGAATTTTTCCATAAACATAATTGAAAATTTTCTCATTTTAATTTTCCTTTCGACTATAATTCAAAGAACCTTCATACATTCACCACACTCTCTAGTTGTCCCACTTGTCAAGATTATATTATACTAGCTTGGGAACCCAGCTTTGCCTTGAAACATTGTTTTCTTTATAGGAGTCAACCTATTCAACTAAGAACTTTTAAACCAAGAATAGAAAATTCCCGCAGGTCTCCCAGGTTCCCCAATCAAAATTTGAGGCAAATCGGTCAAGGGGTTCCTGAGTTATGATCGGACAAACAAATAGAAAGACAAACATATATTACAACTTTATATATACAGATTTTTATATCTAATCTATTGATAGATCTGAACGAGGATAAAAGGGATGATATTGCAGAAATGAATTTAGTTTCTAAACTCAATAATGTGGTGGAGAACTATAAACGGCAAACCCTGGAGTTGGAACAGTATCAGAATAAGGTAAATTGGCGGTTTTTATTTTACTTTTTAAAATCTTTTTTGGTATTTATATTTGATTTTTTAACGAGCAAGTTTTCAAAGAAAACAAGTTGTTGATAGTTTTATCTTCAGTAAAATTAGATGTTAAAAAATCAAAGAAAATTGGCCAAAAGTAAAATGTTCCTGAAAACCTTGCAGACAAATGATTAAAATATTCAATTACCCTTAAGAAGACTGAACCCAAGGATGTAATGCAAGGAAAGTTATTTCAGAAGTGTACAGTTCTTTTGTACTGCAGTGTACTGTCTCTGGGCGGTAATGTAAACACAAGACGAATGTCAAAGCATCTATTCTTGTTTACAAATTCCGCCCAAAGAGAACAGGTTTCAATGTGTACGCAGAGTATACACGACCACAATTAACTTTCCTTGCATTACACCCTTGACTGAACCCAACTCTTGACACTTGATGTCAACATTATCTATATAATAAAACAGACATGTGTATATAAATATATATTGCGTATAACCGGCCAAACGGCTGGACCGATTGGGCTGAATTTTTTTTTGTGGACACTCAGGGTTGGCCGGGGATGTCCGAGGCTAAACATTTTTATTCTCAAATTTTTTTTCCACGGGCCACGCCGGGCCCTTTAGCTAGTACTAAAAATGTAAAACACATTAGTCACATTATCTGATCAAAAATGTGAAAGATATCGTCGTTTTTCTTGATAAAAAGTGATTCTAATAAATCTAACATGTTCGCCCATTCGCAGGAGAAATGCGCAAGTCACTTTTTAAAATTATAAACATTAATATCTAATAAATACTTGATCAGACAAAGCTTTTAAGGGTCCTGTTGTGAATAGTGCATTTCCATCATATTATGGAAGGTCACTTGAAATTACGATTACAGTCCCTTTAATCACTAGAAATATAATATTTATTGACCGGAAGTAGATATATTGAATATTATTTTTTTTAAAGATAATTAAATTTTTTTTTCAAATACGTTTAATTGTTTTTCTTCCAGATATTTAATTTTTAAATATGTTTTTCCATTTCTGAAACGCTAGTTTTTCAAAACGAGCTTTTGAAAAAAATAGATTTCAGAACGATCGTTTCATTTTTTCTTTTTAAAAAATTAGTTTCATCTCTTTCAAAAACGATAGTTTTCGAAAACGTTCGTTTCGTTTCAGATTTTTGCTCATTGTTAACGAAACGAAACGAACATTTTTCAAAAAAGTGTCAAAACTGCCCATCTCTACATACACCAACATGCTGTTTCTGAATACTGACCATTTTTATTTTAATAATTAATTTTGTTAAAATTTAGGAAAGCGCTTTCCGTGAGACTCTTGCTGAAGCAGATATATTCATGGTGAACCTGGAGAACAAATACAAGGAAAATATCAACAACAAGGACCAGGAAATCATCATGCTTAATCATAATCTTCATCAGTATAGGTAGATTCATCTTAATCATAATCGTTATCACAAAGTATAGGTAGCTTCATCTTAATCATAATCTTCATCAGTATAGGTAGATTCATCTTAATCATAATCGTTATCACAAAGTATAGGTAGATTCATCTTAATCATAATCTTCATCAGTATATTATGATAATCTTAATCATAATCGTTATCGCAAAGTATAGATATATCATGATCATCTTAATCTTAATCTTCATCAGTATAGGTATATATAATCATTTTAATCATAATCTTTATTCCTGGAGAACAAATACAAGGAAAATATCAACAACAAGGACCAGGAAATCATCATGCTTAATCATAATCTTCATCAGTATAGGTAGATTCATCTTATTCATAATCGTTATCACAAAGTATAGGTCATGAGTATCTTAATCATAGTCTTCATCAGTGTAGGTAGATTCATCTTAATCATAATCGTTATCACAAAGTATAGGTCATGAGTATCTTAATCATAATCTTCATCAGTATAGGTAGATTCATCTTAATCGTTATCACAAAGTATATATGATCATCTTAATCTTAATCATAATCTTCATCAGTATTGGTATATATAATCATTTTAATCATAATCTTTATCAACTGATAGGTATATCATGAGAGGGGGGGGGGGGGGGGCTCCATTCCATACTCTATAGATAAAGAGTCGCGTCTCAATTCCTATGATCTTTGTAACTAAAAAACCCGATTGCAATGTTTAGAGAACGGTTTGAGCGGTGGAATGCTAATAAGCTGTCTGGAGAGGAGAATGAACTAGCTGACACGGTCAGCCTTGAAAACCTGTTCAGAGCAGAACAAACTGAAATGCAACTCAGAAAGAAGGTATACAGTCGGACCCACAAATATGTGGAAGAAGAAAACAATTCTTACCTCAAGTTAAGATTTTAAATAGACCAATGAACGTGAAATACAGCAACTGTGATGCGTTTACATGTTTATTTGATGACATTTTATTTATTTTCAACCTATTACCTACTGGCAAAACTTTTTGCTTTTTAGCAACATTAAATTCACATAAGATTATTTACATGTCTTCTTCCTATTTCACGTCTTATATGCGACATGTAATTAACCCTAGCTACGTTTTTACCCCTGTCTCCTATTTTAGTTTAATACTAATAACTGTTTATACCACATGTTTTCGTTACTAGTCATTTTCCTCTGTTTATATCTTCTTTCTTCTGTTTCCATTACAATTTTCCTGGTTTCGTGTTCTCCTTTTTTGACAAATATGCCTTCTGTTTTGATAAATTACCCTCCTGTATTGCTAAATTACCCTCCTGCTTTGATAAATAAACCTCCGGTTTTTATAAATTAACCTCCTGTTTTGACAAATACGTCTCTTGTTTTGACAAATATAAATCCTGTTTTGAGTAATTAACCTCGTTTTGATAAATAAACCTCCTGTTTTAAGTAATTGATCTCCTGTTTTAATAAATAAACCTCCTGCTTTGATCAATTAACCTCCTGTTTTGATCAATAAACCTTCTGTTTTGATCAATTAACCTCCTGTTTGATATATTAACTTCCTGTTTGATATATTAACCTCCTGTTTTGATATGTTAACCTCCTGTTTTGATAAATAAACATCCTGTCTTGAACACCAAACTCTCAATTAATTTGATAAATTAGCTTCCTAAGATGGAATTTAAAGAATTTGAGCCGCGGTTTAAATCCGCCAAAACCCGGTTTAAATTAAGCGCCGGCTTAAATTTTGAAACATTTGATACAATTTTAAGTGGAACCAACCATATTTAAGCCGCGGCTTAATTTTAAACCGCCGCTCAAATTCTTTAAATTCGGCCACTATTTGATTAAATAAACTTCTTATTTCAGGTGTTCAACCTGGAGCAGAGTGAGCAGGAACTGACCGGTCGTCTTCTGAAGCAGGAGAAGGAGGTTGTGCTCCTGAAAGGTGAGATGAAGGAGCAGGAGGAGATGTTGAATCACCTGGAGGAGATCAGGAGGGAGAACCAGGCGCTCAGGGACCAGCTTATCAAGAAAAAGGTTAGCTTTAAGGGACTGTGAACCAAATTTCAAGTGACTCCTTAAATTTAAATTCTGTTCAGGAATTGGAGTTTAAAAATCAGGAGTTAAGTCAATCTTTGGAGTTCCTGGAAGGACGAGTAGAAGAACTGGAACAAATAGAATCCAATCTTAGGATGGGTTTACAGGTATAGATAGGACGGGTTTACAGGTATAGATAGGATGGGTTTACAGGTATAGATAGGACGGGTTTACAGGTATAGATAGGACGGGTTTACAGGTATATATAGGACGGGTTTACAGGTTCAATTAGTACAGATTTACAGGTACAGATAGGACGAATTTACAGGAATAGATAAGACGGGTTAGCAGACATAGCTTGGACGGGTTTACATGTATAGATAGCACAGGTTTACAGGTATAGATAGGGCAGGTTTACAAGTATAGATAGGACGGGTTTACAGGTATAGATAGGACAAGTTTACAGGTATAGATAGGACAGGTTTACAGCTTCTTTGGAACTTTTTCATAAGCTTAGAATGGTTTTAGACGTAATTTTAAGTGTTTAAATAAGGAGCACATATTTACACGTTAACATGTTCATAGCTAAAAATTACTAAGTTTTGAATATTTATGCTTATTGCTTCCCGCATTTTTAATTCTATAAGAAAGACGAAATTACACTCCTGTAATATTGATGGATTGTATTCTTCCAGGAGAAGGAACTGGTTGTTCTAAATCGTGAGAGAAAACTTCATGATCTTGAATCAAGATTAGAGGATGAAAGACATTTACATGATCATTATAAAAACAGGTAATGAAAACTAATGATATTAAATATCTTAATGATGTTTCAAGGAACATGACAGTAGAGATCTTCTCTGAAGACTCTGAGTTTTAGAATAATTTGCGGCAGTTCTTAAAAGGATTTTCACGCATGTCACTTTTAAAACAAACTTGGTTTACCTTTTTTGGGCTTTCAAAATTACCGGAGATAAATTCCGCAAATTATTTGTAAGATAAAAGACTATCTTAAATCTATCTAGGTATGAGGATGGATATGATCAGATGAAGGATGATGATACTAGCTTGAGATTGGTGGCCGAGAACCTAAAGCTGGAGATATCAACGCTAAACCAAGAGTTGATTAATAAACAGGCAGAATTCTCTAGTTCAGAGACATCTTTAAGAAACGAGGTAAAATGATTTTTTTTTGGTTTTGCTCCCCCCCTCCCCCCTCCACCCCAACAAAAAAATACAGTTGGTCTGAAACCCCGTTAAAAACACTCAAACATATGCCAATTTAAAAAAATGTACAGACTGCGTCAAAAGATTGCGTTTAAAGGGACAGACCGGCATTGTAAGTATGAGTATGCAGTGTTTTAGACAAATTCTTTAGGATTTATTTGAGACATATAAAACTTTTTAAAGGTCTGTAAATCCTGAGTTTGAGCGCAAAGTCGACGTTCAAACTCGTACTTTTGGGTGAATGCGTTTTCCGAATCATTTATTTTCTTAAATTATTAAATAACGACAACGAAAAATAAAGTAAAAAATATAAAGTAATCTAATTAGATGGTTAGGAACATATTTCTCAAAAGAAATTTGTCAATAAATCAATGCTAGACTCAATTATTTCGTTTTCATTATTATATTAAATTTCTTATTTTCTTTGAATCTTTTCGCAGATTTCTTCATATTCTTCAAATGCCCTCTTTTCAATAATAATTTCAGAAAATCAGCAGAAAATCTTTGTGAATAATGAGAAAATAAAAACTAATAATTGAGCATGATTACGTATTTTAGAATTATTATTAGAATTTTTATTTTCTCAACAGCTCTTCCTATTCAGCTAATTAGTTTACTGTAGAATTTTGTTTATATTTTTTGTCGACGTTTATAATAATGTACAAAAAACAATTCTGAAAACATATCCACCCAAAAGTAAGATTTTGAACGTCGACTTTGCGCTCAAACTCAGGATTTACAGATCTTTAAAAGTTTTATGTGTTTCAAATGAATCCTAAAGAATTTGTCCACAACACTGCATACTCAGTTCAACTACCTTACATAGCCGGTCTGTCCCTTTAAGAAATTAGGTAAAACACTGAAAAGTATTCCCCAATATAAAAACTAATATATTTTTCTGCTGACGAAATGGATCAAAAGCCATACTTTTGATTTACTAATTATTGATTTGAATCACTCATACTTACAAGTAATATTCAATGCTCTGACCCCAAACCCTCACTCTGAAAAAAAGACAAACTATCGTTTTTATGCTATTCCAGGGTATGTTTGTCAGGGGTGTAGTCCTGTTTTAAAAGGAGGGACGGGGGAATCCGTGGATCATTTAATAAGAACTAATTAAATGCTGAAATAATGCGAGTTTATTACTTTTCTCGTCTATTCAACAGTTTTCAGCTCATTTAAAGATTGATAAAAATGCAACCATTTTGACTTACAATTTTACTTACAATGTTAATTACAATTTTGCTTTCAATTTTACTTACAAATTTTACTTACAATGTTACTTACAATTTTGCTTACAATTTTACTTACAAATTTTACTTACAATTTTACTTACAATTTTACTTACAATTTTACTTACAAATTTAGTTACAATTTTATTTACAATTTTACTTACAATTTTACTTACAATTTTACTTACAATTTTACTTACAAATTTAGTTACAATTTTATTTACAATTTTACTTACAATTTTACTTACAATTTTACTTACAATTTTACTTACAAATTTAGTTACAATTTTATTTACAATTTTACTTACAATTTTACTTACAATTTTACTTACAATTTTACTTACAAATTTAGTTACAATTTTATTTACAATTTTACTTACAATTTTACTTACAATTTTACTTACAATTTTACTTACAAATTTAGTTACAATTTTATTTACAATTTTACTTACAATTTTACTTACAATTTTACTTACAATTTTACTTACAAATTTAGTTACAATTTTATTTACAATTTTACTTACAATTTTACTTACAATTTTACTTACAATTTTACTTACAAATTTAGTTACAATTTTATTTACAATTTTACTTACAATTTTACTTACAATTTTGCTTACAATTTTACTTAATTGGTTTGAGTTAAATTTCTATGTATCTGAGTATCCGAGGTGTTGGCAGGGTGGTTGACTGCTCATCCGCTTTTTTTGGCTTTGTAATATACAATTCAGAGAGTATCAATGTTTAAAGAACATAATTCAGAAATTGTACATAATATAAAATTCAGAGAGTATCAATGTTTAAAGAACATTATCCAGAAATTGTACATAATATACAATTCAGAGAGTATCAATGTTTAAAGAGCATTATCCAGAAATTGTACATAAAATACAATTCAGAGAGTATCAATGTTTAAAGAACATTATTCAGAAATTGAACAATGTATACTTTTAATTCATAAATTGATTGCTTTATAACAACATCAAATACACATAAGCCTGTATATATTTACGTCACATTTCCATATCAGAAATTACATTTGTTGTATACAAGAATATCTAACCTATTCAGAAGATGAGAATATAGTTTAAAACTCTATAAATATTCACCCTCCATGAGAACATAGTTGAGAACACTATAAATATTCACCCTCTGTGAGAATATAGTTGAGAACTCTATGAATGTTCACTCTCTATGATGATATAGTTGAGAAATTTTATGGATATTCACCCTCTATGAGAATATAGTTGAGAACTCTACAGATATTCACCCTCTGTGAGAATATAGTTGAGAACTCTATGGATATTCACCTTCTTTGATAATATAGTTGAGAACTCTATAGATATTCACCCTCTATGAGAATATGTTGAGAACTCTATGGATATTCACCCTCTATGATAATATAGTTGAGAACTCTGTAGATATTCACCCTCTATGAGAATATAGTTGAGAACTCTATGAATATTCACCCTCTATGAGGATATATTTGAGAATTTTATGGATATTCACCCTCTATGAGAATATATTTGAGAACTCTATAGATGTTCACCCTCTATGAGAATATAGTTGAGAACTCTATAGATGTTCACCCTCTATGAGAATATAGTTGAGAACTCTATGGATATTCACCATCTATGCGACTATAGTTGAGAACTCTATGTATATTCACCCTCTATGAGAGTTACAATTTTATTTACAATTTTACTTACAATTTTACTTACAATTTTACTTACAATTTTATTTACAATTTTACTTACAATTTTACTTACAATTTTGCTTACAATTTTACTTAATTGGTTTGAGTTAAATTTCTATGTATCTGAGTATCCGAGGTGTTGGCAGGGTGGTTGACTGCTCATCCGCTTTTTTTGGCTTTGTAATATACAATTCAGAGAGTATCAATGTTTAAAGAACATAATTCAGAAATTGTACATAATATAAAATTCAGAGAGTATCAATGTTTAAAGAACATAATCCAAAAATTGTACATAATATACAATTCAGAGAGTATCAATGTTTAAATCAATGTTTAAAAACATTATCCAGAAATTGTACATAATATACAATTCAGAGAGTATCAATGTTTAAAGAACATTATCCAGAAATTGTACATAATATACAACTCAGAGAGTATCAATGTTTAAAGAACATTATCCAGAAATTGTACATAATATACAATTCAGAGAGTATCAATGTTTAAAGAACATTATCCAGAAATTGTACATAATATACAATTCAGAGAGTATCAATGTTTAAAAAACATTATCCAGAAATTGTACATAATATACAATTCAGAGAGTATCAATCTTTAAAGATCATTATCCAGAAATTGTACAATGTATAATTATGATCTTTTTATTATGCATAGAGTATAAAGTATGATGTTGTATACATGTCTATCTAACCTATTCAGAAGATGAGGATATAGTTAAGAACTCTATAAATATTCACCCTCTATGAGAATATAGTTGAGAACTCTATGAATATTCACCCTCTATGAGGATATAGTTGAGAAATTTTATGAATATTCACCCTCTACGAGAATATAGTTGAGAACTCTATAGATATGCATCCTCTATGAGAATAAGGTTGAGAACTCTATGGATATTCACCCTCTATGAGAGTATAGTTGAGAACTCTATAGATATTCACCCTCTATGAGAATATAGTTGAGAACTCTATAGATATTCACCCTCTATGAGAATATAGTTGAGAACTCTATAGATATTCACCCTCTATGAAAATATAGTTGAGAACTCTATAGATATTCACCCTCTGTGAGAATATAGTTGAGATATGGATATTCACCGTCTATGAGAATATAGTTGAGATATGGATATTCACCCTCTATGAGAATATAGTTGAGAACTCTATGGATATTCACCCTCTATGAGAGTATAGTTGAGAACTCTATAGATATTCACCCTCTATGAGAATAAAGTTGAGAACTCTATGGATATTCACCCTCTATGAGAATATAGTTGAGAACTCTATAGATATTCATCCTCTATGAGAATAAGGTTGAGAACTCTATGGATATTCACCCGCTATGAGAGTATAGTTGAGAACTCTATAGATATTCACCCTCTATGAGAATATAGTTGAGAACTCTATAGATATTTACCCTCCATGGGAATATAGTTGAGAACTCTATAGATATTCACCATCTATGAGACTATAGTTGAGAACTCTATGTATATTCACCCTCTATTTGACTATAGTTGAGAACTCTATAGATATTCACCCTCTATGAGAATATAGTTGAGAACTCTATGTATATTCACCCTCTATGTATTAACAAAACATAAATAAGATTATTTCACAATCCTCTCAGGTTGCTTCTGCTGCCATGAATAGTTTCAAGATTAATCTTAGATAAGAGATATATCTTCAAATTTACATCCTGTATAAACAGACCATCCTGCACACTCAACATCCGTGAAGTAAAAAAAATATCATAATTTACAAAAATGTTGTTCAAAAATTAAGAGAAGAGGGTTTGCGATATCTCGAACATTCTGCTCGCTAAATCAAACAAAATTTTCATAAATTTCAAATGCTTTGGTCCGTTCAAAATGACACACAAAATGTTAGATCGGACTAGTTTTTGTATAACTAGTTTTAACTAGTCAAGGGTTTTAGCTATCAAGTTATAAGTGGCATGTTCAATTCTTAGAAAAAATCAGGAAAATTTCGTCGTACTCGTGTCTTATCTCGTCGTACTCGTGTCCTATCTCGTCGTACTGGTGTCCTATCTCGTCGTACTCGTGTCTTATCTCGGAGCAGGATGAATTCTGACAATTTCCGTCATTCACCCGCAAGTCACATTTACAGGGAATCAAAATTTGATAGTATTCAATTTTTTATCGTGAAAAAAGAATATCTCATTATTCCTTAATCAGACAAAGGTTTTAAGGGTACCGTTATAATTAGGGCATGCCTGCACTGAAGAAAATAAAATGGCGGGTTCCTTTAAAACCGATTACACCAAAGTGCTTTTATGATAAAGTCGTGTAAAAATAAAAACAAAATTTGTTTAGGTTCATAAAAGTCGTCAACAGCTTCAACTCTGTAATGAGCAGCTAAATGAACTGGATTGTATGAACCAGCAGCTTCGGAGCAGCTTATCCCAGTTGGAGCAACAGCTTCTTGACAAATCAGGAGCTGATGAATTGAAGCTTCAAGCTTCAGAAGAAAGCTGTTTATTGCTTACAGAAAAGGTTTGCTTAAACAATAATAACTTTTACAAAAACGAAAAATAACAGGATCTAAATTCATGATTATTTGACAAAACTGTTTGACTGTTTTTTAGGTTAAAGAGAAAGAAGAAACGATTTCTAGGTTAAAAGCTCAACGTGAACTCTGGGTAGGACGAGCAGATTTCCAGGTATACTGAATATTGAAATCCAGGTATATTTGATATTGATATCCAGGTATATTAAATATTGATATCCTGGTATTGATATTGATATCCAGGTATATTAGATATTGATATCTAGGTATATTAAATATTGATAACCTGGTACACTAAATGTTGATATCCAGGTATATTAAATATTGATATCCAGGTATTGAATATTGATATCCAGGTGTTGAATATTGATATCCAGGTATATTAAATATTGATATTTAGGTATTAAATATTGATATCCAGGTGTTGAATATGTGTTTTCTAAAAAAAATCACCCAAGTGGTTCCAGCCTTTTGGCCATATATGAAGATATGAGCAACCAGCTTATAATAGTTGATTTTCCAGGAGCTGGATCTGCTAAGTGAAGGAGAGCTTGGATTAGTTCATCTAGAAAATCTGATTAAACAAATCAAGATTAGGATAGAAACTTGTAGATCCTGCTCTTCTACCTTGGGACCTTATATCATGGTAATTCATTCGTTTCACAATTTATTCAATTTTTTTGTAAATGGATTTTCTATATAATAAAACAAGACATTTGTATAAACCTATGTTGCGTAAACCTGGCATAACGGCTGGTCCGATTAGGCTGAAATTCTTTTTTAAATATTTTGTTTTCCACATTTAAAAATAAGAAAATTCGCCGGTCCCTTAATTCAGCCAGTTAACACAAAAATCCATGAAATCTATGAAAAGTTGCATAAATGTTTAAAACTGAGTCAACCTTGAAGCGCATGCAGCAACCGCTTATGTAGCCTTTGATTTTACCTCACTAACTTACTTATATTTTTTGATTTTACCACACTAACTTACTATATTATTTGATTTTACCACACTAACTTACTTATGTTTTTTGATTTTACCACACTAACTTACTTATATTATTTGATTTTACCACACTAACTTACTTATATTTTTTGATTTTACCACACTAACTTACTTATATTTTTTGTATTTACCTCACTAACTTACTTATATTTTTTGATTTAACCACACTAACTTACTTATATTTTTTTATTTTACCACACTAACTTACTTATATTTTTTGATTTTACCACACTAACTTACTTATATTTTTTGATTTTACCTCACTAACTTACTTATATTTTTTGATTTTACC